GAGTGCTAATGAATAAGGGACTTCTTAGAGGGGTGATGGAAATGTTCTAGAACTAGATGGAAGTGGTAGATGTAAAACACTGTGAATGTAATAAATGCCACTGCATCATACATTTTAAAGTGGTCTAAAAGATAAATATTATATTATGTGTAATTAACCACAATAAAGGAAAAAGAAAAAAAAACAAAAAATAACACAACATCATTGCTGTGGTATTTCTACCTAAAGTGCATAACCTCAATCGAATTGTAAGAAAACATCAGACAAACCCAAACTGAGAAATATTTCTTCCAAGTAATTGACCAGTATTCATCAAGAATGTCAAGGTCAAGAAAGACAGAAACTGAGGAACTGTCACAAACTGGAGAAAATTATTAAGGGATACCACAACTAAATAGAACACAAGATCCTGATTTGGAACCTGAAACAGAAAAGGACAAAGAAATAAGGTCTGCAGTTTAGTTAATAGTATCACCTTGTACCAATGTTAATTTCCATGTTTTGATCTTTGTACTATGATTATGCACGATGTCAACATTAGGGGAAGTTTGGGTGTAAGATATAGTGGAACTCTAGTGTTTTTACAGCTTTAAGTCTAAAGTTGTTTCAAAATAAAAGAAAAAGGTTAAAAATAAAAACAAACCATAACTTAGCATCAACTGTGTGCCAGGCACCCTCACGCATTCCATTTTTACTAATGAAACTGAGAGGTTCAGAAAAGTACATTGTCCAAGCCAGTATGTGAGAAAATAATGGTAAACTTACACTGACTGAACGTGTTGTGTTAGAAACCACTGGACACTTTCACTTGTGATCTGGTTGGTCCTTACCACAACCCTCTGAGGTAGATATTATTGTCCCTATTTTAGAGATGTGAAACTGGAGGTTGAGGAGTGGCATTCCCAAAGTCACATAAAAGCTAGAGACAGAGTTTAGATTCAAAACCAGATCAAGATCTGGCTGGTGTGGCTCAGTGGATTGAGTGCCAACCTGCAAACTGAAAAGTTGCATGTTCAATTCCCAGTCAGGGCACGTGCCTGGGTTGCAGGCCAGGTCCCCAGGCGTGGGCATGCAAGAGGCAGCTAATCAAAACCAGATCAGATTCCAATGGCCACAACACTCTCAACGGCCCTGGCACCACTCTTTGTAAACCTTATGGTGGCCCTTTATGTACCCCATCATCTTCTACATCCTGACGCAGCTGGACAGGAAGCCCTTGGACACAGCTCTCACTGTTTATAATGCAACCTTGCATGCCCTTACTTCCTAGTTTCCCTCAACAATCTGAGAGATGGACTGTCTGTGCTTTTCCTTCCTTCCCCTAATCATTTCATTCCCCCCGCCCATTTGTGGTGGTTTAGCATTTACATATTAGTTAGTCGCCAGATTTTTAGACACAGATAATGATATACCCTGTCCCATTCCCTCTTGTATGTCTTCTGGAAGCAGTTGGGCTGTGGTTCCAGCTATTGAAACCTGTAAACTGCCAGAGCCTCCCTCATCTCCAGGTTAGAGCATGAGTCATTTCAAAGACCCTTGAGATTGAGGACGATGTGCTTGGCACTGTGTGTTAGGCCATGGGTGCACAATTCAGTGGCATTTAATACATTTACAGTGTTGTACTTCTCTGTCTTTAAGAGGTGTGTAGTAGCTGGGAAAGATGCAGTGTGAAAGTGATGGGTAGAGAAGATAGAATCAATCAGGCTTCATGACAGTCCTACAAAAAAGGATAACTTCATTTGCATAATGCCAAGACCCAGAGGACAGTCGTTAAAGAGTCCTGGATCCCTTCTCCTCTACCCCTAGGAAGCATAAACATGCCAGATACAAGATAGATTTAACAAATTTCTCCAATTATCCAACCCAAGCTGCTATCAGATCTCCAGGGCTTTTGCTTCATCTGTTGTGTGCACACAACTTCCACTAGACGCAGGACAAATCAGAATGTATGCATACAAAGTCAGCAAAAGTTCTCAGAAAGCCTCAGTGGCCTCATCATCTCTTCCTTGCCCTCCTTTACATGAAGGTTCACCTCATCAATCCATCCATCAATGAGGGCCTTGACTTCGAGCTACCAGAAGTCACACAGGTTGACAACCATGACTCACTTTGGGATAAGTACCTTGGAAACCCCCCACCCCCACCCCTCCTTGAGTTACATAAAGGCACATTCAAATGGACTGAAGTATATAAATGCATTAGGACACCAATAATCATCGTATAAATCATAATACAAATATCTTGGATTTACGAAATACTTTACAGCCCCAGCTGAGTGGCTCGGTTCTCTCAGTGAGCATAGTTCTGATGTGCCAAGGTTGCAGGATCAATTTCAGGTCAAGGCACATACAGGAAGCAACCAATGAGTGCATGAATAGGTGGAACAGCAGATCGATGTTCCTCCCTCTCTCGCTCTCTCGCTCTCTCCCATCAATAAATTTTTAAAATTTTTTAACTTTAAAAAGAAATACTTTACAGTTTACAAGAGACTCACACCTATACTCCTTCCCTTGATTCTCACAACAGTACTATGGAGTGCAAGGATAGGACGCATTGGCCCCCTCGCACAGAGGCAGGCACTGGAGGTCACAGAGCTGGTCCATGATAGAAGTGCTCAAGGATCCCCAACTTCCCAGCCTGCTTTCCCCTGTGTTCTACCCTGAAAGTAATAATGACCCTGTGGTTGCTATCTTCTGAGGAAACAAAGGTTTAGCCAACAAATATTACAGGGAGGATTTGAACTCAGGTGAGTCTCTGAATACCACCTTTTAACTCAGCTACACTCAATTTACTCCTGTTTCATCCAGTCCTTCCTGTTCATTCCTACTGGGTTCCTGGTACATACAAGGTGCTGAACGGCCAGGCCACAGGCTGGCCAGAGTCAGGCTCTCAGTCCAGGGCTGGGTGGTCTTGCACCCTGGATCCCACACCCATAATTAGGGAATGTGTTAGTTTGCTACTGCTGCTGAAAAAATTACCACAAATTTGGTGCTTTAAGACAACAAAGATTTATTTTCTCACAGTTCTAGAGGCCCATGGTCCAAGATTAACATGTCAGCAGGGCTGTGTTCTCTCTAGAGGCTCTAGGGGAGGATCCTTCCTTGTCTCTTCTAGATTCTGGGGGCTCCTGGCAGTCCCTGGCCAGTGGGCTGCATGGCTCCAATCTGTGCCTCCAGCTACATATGGCCTCTTCTGTCTCAAGATCTGAGATCTCTCTCTCTGCCTTGTTCTTATAAGGACAGCTGTCATTGGATTTAGGACCCACCCAGGCAATCCAGGATGATCTCATCTCAAGATCCTTATGTTAATGAGGTCTACAAAGACCCTTTTTCCACAGAAAGTCATATTCACAGGTACCAGGGATCAGGAGTTGGAGTATCTTTTGAGAGGGCACTATTCAATCCACCATAGGAAGAAGGCAGGTTTAGGTTTACAGTGTCACCGTGTTCTTTGGTGGGGACAGGGGTGTGGTGGTCGCTGCTCCTGCAGCTACCCTAGAACAGGACAGGCCTTGAGCAGACAAGTGGCAGGGCCAACGCTAGGTAGCTGGTCATCCAGGAATCAGCCTGTTGGTTCCCAGGGCAGTGAGTGAGCACAGCACTGGGCCAGGCAGACAGAATCAGTGGTTTCTGAGATTCAGGGAGGTTGGCAAAGACACTAATTTTAAAGGGCTAAAGGCAGTGTTGCCAGGATATCCTAAAATCACATTCCTAAGCCACTCAAGTATCCCAAGAAGGCGGAAGTCGTGTTAATTGCCTCTGCTACAGTCAGGCTACCATGAGCTACAAGGGACTAACCTCCTTTGATTCCAGAGCCCAGAGCTGGGCTTCCTCCTGACTGCTTATCAGCAGAGCCTATGATCACAGTGCCATTTGCAGCAGGTGTGACTCCGCCAGTGCCCAGGCAGGAAAGGTGGCCATGCAGGAGTACCCTGGCTGCTGGGACAGGAGCAAGGTAGGGAGCTGGCTGCTCTCCTTCGGCACTAGCTCAAGGTGTAGGTTAGAGATGCTGGGCCACATGCAATTCTGGACTCCAGTTATTCAACAAACCCTTTACCTGCTCCCAAGAAGCAGGGACAACAATAAGACATGGGCAGAGGAGAGAAAATGCTTTGGAGACCTGCAAGTCCTAGTAGGGTCCAGGGAAGGGGAAAGAGTCTCCTGAGGATTCTGGAAGAGGCAGCAGGATCGTGTCAGACTAAATCAGTGGGCTCTGTGGTAGGACTTCCTGGCTTCAAGTCCCAGTTCCACAGCTTGCTGTGCAACCTTGGACTAGTTACTTAACCTCTCTCAACCTTAGCTCTCTTCTCTATAAACTAAGAATCAAAATAAAAACTACTTCATGTGGTAGTTACGAGAATTAAATCAAACAAGCTAAAGAAAGCACTTAGCACAGTATCTGGTCTGTAGTAAATACCTAGCTAATGCTAGACATTATAACCATCAACATCAGAGGTGAACCTTGACAGCAGGTGTCAAGTTTCACATTATGTGTCCACTTGGCCAGGCTATGGTGCTCAGTTGTTTGGTGTCGCTAGCATCAGTCTGGGTGTCGCTATGAACGTATTTTTAGATGTGATTAACATTTAAATCAATGGACTTAAGTAAAACACACTACCCTTCATCATGCGGTGAGCTTCATCCAATAAGTCCAAGAGAAAAGTCTGAGGTTCCACAAGGAGGAAGGAATTCTGCCTTAGACTGCCTTCAGACTTGACTGCCACATCGACTCTTGCTGAAGGTTCCAGTCTGCCGGCTTCTCCTGTGGACTTCAGACTTTCCAGACCCCACCTCTCTCTATAAATACATATCTTTTTGGTCCTGTTTCTCAGGAGAATCCTAACTAACACACCAACATTGAGTTTTCCAAACCATGTTCATGGCTGCGGAGAGGGGCCAACGTGAAGGGATGAGACAGCACCTGGTCATGGAGAGAAAAGGAAGTAAATGAAGCGTCCACTCTGTACCAGATACTTCACCTGTGACAAGAGGTGGGCACATGTGCTCACTTCGGCAGTACATACACTAAAATTGGAACAATATAAAGAATTAGACTGGGTCTGCACAAGGATTGCATGCAAATTTGTGACACATTCCATATTTTTTAGAAGGTAAAGGGATAAATGTGACATAAGGAGACTTAACTTTGGGTGGTGAACACACAATACAATATACAGATGATGTATTATAGAACTGTACACTTAAAACCCATATAAATTTAGTAACCAGTGTCACCCCAATAAATTTAATTAAAATTTTAAAAAAGAGGTGGGCACACAACAACATTTCACAAAGAGAAGACTGCAGTTTAGAGAGCTTAAGTGAACTATTCAACACCACCACCAAGGAAAGGAGTTGTCTACATTAGAACCCAGATCTGACTCACATGCCCATGACTCTTCCCATCAATCCAAGTGAATGCCATCAGGGGAAGAGAAGAATCAGCATGTCAGGGAGAAGGGTGGAGGGCTGTGTGGGAGGCATGGGGACAGAGAAAGGGCACAGGCTGAAGGGTCAGAGAAAACCACAGAACCCTAACCCAGGCAGGAAGGGAAAGGGTGAGCTCAGCATTGTTTAAAACATTAACTGCATTTTATTGAAAGATATCTTTTGGACTCAACATCCCTTCTTCCTTGGATCTTTAACCTTCTACCTGCCCTGCGGACTTCAGACTTGTCAGCCCCCATGATTATGTGTGCCAATTCCTTAAAATAAACCTCTCTGTAGATAAATAATAGGTAGATAGATAGATAGATAGATAGATAGATAGATAGATAGATAGATAGATATAAATAGGTTGATTGACTAGGTCTATCTATCCATCTGTCTATCTAAGATATACACATCCTATTTATTCTGTTTCTCTAGAGAACTCTAACACAGGGGGGAATTAGACTGTGACCAGGACCCAAAAGGACAAACATCCCAAACAGAGGCCCTGAGGGGTAGGTTGTGCTGGGGAGGTCAAGCAGGCCAGCTGGGCTTCAATGCAGAGGGAATATGAGGCAATTAAGCAGGCCAGGCAACTTAAGCCAGGTGGGAAGAGACTCAGAGGCTTTGAAAGATTCGTGAGCTAAAGTGTGGGTGCCTGGCGCTGCCCTTGCAGAAGAGGCCTGCACAGAGCACACTGACAGATTGTATCTACGAATGTATCCACCATTGTATCTACTGTCAAAAGGCCAGCAGAAATGTACTTGGCATAGAGAAGAAACCTACCTCTGGTATTGGACCAATGAAGTTACACACAAATGTGGACACGCAGCTCAGTCACAAGGCAAAAACACTTGAAAAGGTGTGGAGGGTGCAGAAGGAGCTGGGTCAGCTGAGGCTCTCTTGTGGAATCTAGGTGTGGCCTCCCTACACAGGGATCTGGAATGTGCGGTGCTGCAAAGTGGATTGTTGGTGCATTTCTGGGGCTCAGGTGATTCTGAAGGCAGGGGCCACCAGGAAAGAATAGCATTCTGCAAATAGAGGCTCTGAACAGCAGGTAATGAGAGCTGGCTTTACCCAGGAGCCCTGCTCACAGACTGGTGCCAAACGATGTCATCCCCACCAGAGGCTCTAAAAGCTGACCTTGGTTGGTAACCCTAAGCATACTTCACTTGCCAGTTCACTTAAGAAAATGGCCAGGGTTTGCTTCCTGGTGGTAAGGTGGAGTCATTTAGTTCTAGGGGCTTCTCTCTTCTTTATTAACAAGCTTCCTGCTGGGAACAGAAGTTATGCCTGCCCTTCCTAATTGCTAATTGCTGTAAAGTCATATATGTCCGCCTTTTCTCTCTTCCAATCATATAAATACCAAAATAGAACAACAACAGAGCAGAAGCCATCAACCTAGATGTTTTAGAATGTCAGAGCCAGCATTCTATTTCTAGCAACATGAAACCCAGTTATACAAAATTCTCCTGCTCTAAAACACCTAAAAAGAAAAAAAAATTGTTGTAGTAAAATATATAAAACCAAATTTACCATTTTGACTATTGTTAAGTATATAGCGTTTAGTGGTATTAAGTACATTCATATTCTTGTGCAACCATCACTACCATCCAACTCCAGAACTTTTTCATCTTCCTAAACTGAAACTCTGTGTCCATTAAACAATAACTCCCAATTTCTTCCCTGCCCCTATTCCTTGGAAATCTCTATTCTACTTTCTGTCTCTGTGATTTTAATCATTCTAGGTTCCTTATATAAGAGGAGCCATACAATATTTATCCTTCTGTCTGGCTTATTTCACTTAGAACGATGTCTTCAAGGTACATGCACGTTTTAGAATGTCTCAGAATTTCCTTTTTCTTTAATATTCCATTGTATGGGGAGTCCACATTCATTCAACAATAGACATCCAAGTTGTTTCAACTTTTCGGCTATTACAAATAAGGCTGTTATGAACATCATCAGTGTACTCAAGTATTTGTCTTGAGCCTGACTTTTTCTTGGCTTAGTTTTGGTGATTATTTTCCCAGAAATGTTTCTTCTGAGTGTTAAAATTATTGCTATAAGTTTTCTCCAAGTCTCTTATTATCTTTGTAATTTTTGCTGTATTTATGGTTATGTCCCTTTATTATTGCTATAAGTTTTCTCCAAGTCTCTTATTATCTTTGTAATTTTTGCTGTATTTATGGTTTATGTCCCTTTTAAATCTTCATATTTTTTGTGTGTCTTTTCTTTTTTTTAGAGCATCTGGTCAGAGATTTACCAACTGCATTACTCTTTCAAACAGCTAACCATATTAGTTAGAACTGTATTCAGCTCTGGGTTGGGGAAAACCTCCAATTATCAGTAGCTTAACAAGATAAATTCTTGTTCTCATTGTAAAATATCCAAGGCTCAATCAGATTTGCTCTGGCAATCCATGGTGTTGGAGAACCAGGCTCCTTCAATCTTTTTGCTCCTTCATTATCCAAGGAAGGAAAAGGTACTCTCCAATATCCAAAGGTCACCCTTTTGTTCAAGATAATTTCTGGAGCTCCAGCCAGAATTCCAAGCAGGAAGAAGGAAGAGAGAGAGAAAAAAGACATCCCTTCTTTCTTTATATCTCCTGAGAATTGCACACACCACTTCTGCTCACGTCACATTGGCCAGAACACAATCATATAGCCAATCAACTTGCAAAAGAGTCAAGAAAATGTTTGGGTTTTTGGTTTTCTCTTCTCCAAACCTTTATGCTGTTGCTGTCCTGCTTTTTACATCTAGATATGTTCTAAACTCCACAACACAAGGTTTATTTTGCTTTTAAACAATTATCTTTTTTTAAAAAATTAGTATGAAAAATTAATTTTTGCCTCCCCTTTCCAGTGGTCTTCATTCCTATGTATACATCCAAGTTTCCATCTGATATCATTTTCCTTCTGCCTGAAGAACATTCTCTAATATTTCTTCATAGTGCATATCTGCAGGAAACAAATTCTCTCAGCTTTAGTGTATTTGAAAATGCTTGAAGAATATTTTCACTAGATATGCAAGTCTAGACTGATGGAGGGGGTTTCTTTAGACTTTAAAGATGTTTTGATGTCTTCTAGCTCATATTGTTTCTGACAAGAAATCTACAATAATTCTAACCTTTTTCCTCTGTATATAATGTATTTTTTTTCTCTGAAATTTTAAACAAGTTTTACATTATCACTGGTTTTTAGCAATTTGGTGATGATGCGTCTGGGTTTGGTTTTCTTTATGTTTATTCTGCTTGTAATTCTTTGAGTGTCTTGGATCTGTGGGTTTACAGTTTCATCAAATTTTAAAGAACTTTGCCCAGTATCTCCTCACTATTTTGCTTCCCTGACTCTCCTCCTTCTGAGACTTTAATCATACAATTACACATACACATATTTACACATACTGCTTAATATCTTCCCACAGTTCAGAGAGGATCTAGTGGGGGGTTTTCTTCTTTCCTTTTGAGTTTTAGTGTGGACTCTATTTATTACTATATTTGGAAGTTTACTGACCTGTTCTTCTGTAGAGTCTAACCTGCTATTAATCCCATCTGGTAAAAGTTTCATTTCACATATTGAATTTTTCAGCTCTACGGGTCCACTTGGTTATTTTTTTCTTACACTTCTAATTACTTAGGTGATTTTCTGTAAGTCTTTGAGCATATTTACAATAGGTGTTTTAAAGCCCTTGTCTTTTAACCATATGATCTCTGTCATTTGTTAGTCTGTTTTTATTGACAGATTTTGCTCCAGATTATGGATCACATTTTACTGCCTGTTCTCATGTCCAATACTTGTTTATTGGATGCTAGACATTGTGGATTCTACATTGTTGAGTGCTAGGTTTTGTTGCCTTCTTTTCAAGGGTATTAGACTTTGTTCTAACAGGCAGGTTACCTACAAATTAGTTACCCCAGCTGATTTCTCAAAAGAAACCTTACAGGCAAGAAGGGGCTGGAAAGAAGTATTCAAAGTCAGGAAAGGCAAGGACCTACATCCAAGATTACTCTACCCAGCAAAGCTTTCATTTAGAACGCAAGGGCAGATAAAGTGCTTTCCAGATAAGGTAAAGTTAAAGGAGTTCATCATCACCAAGTCCTTATTACATGAAAAGTTAAAGGGACTCATCTAAGAAAAAGAAGAAGATCAAAACAAGAAAGAGTAAAATGACAATGAATTCACAATTATCAACAACTGCACCTAAAAAACAAAAATAAAAACTAAGCAAACAACTAGAACAGGAACAGAATCACAGAAGTGGAGATCACATTGAGTGTTATCAGTGGGGAGTGGAAGGGGGGAGTGAGGGAGAAAGGTACAGGGAATAGGAAGCATAATTGTTAGGTACAAAATAAACAGGGGGAGGTTAAGAATAGTATAGGAAAGGAAGAAGCCAAAAAACTTATATGTACAACTCATGGACATGAACTAAAGAAGGAGGAATGCTGGATAGAGGGGCAATGCATGGCAGAGGGAGATAAAGGGGAGAAAAAAATTAGACAACTGTAGTAGCATAACCAATAAAATATACTTAAAATAAATAAATAAATATTAAAAAGTGAAAATAGTGTGTAAGGAGACTCTGGGACAACTTCAGGCATACAGACATTTTTGCATCATGGGAGTGCTGAAAGGAGAGGAGAGGCAGCAAAAAATTGAAAACCTATTTGAAA